CCCATTCACTGTTAAATCTAGTGCATCTCAATGAGATGGGACTGCAAGACAAGAGACCAAAATCCAAATAATGCAAAAAGAACGAGAATGAAAAGTGAGATCCGAAGCACCCACCTTCCTCAGACATCTTCTCTTGATGAAGTCAGCATCCAGTCATTGATGGCATCCTGTACTTCTGCCCTTCTTCACCCAGCAACATATAACCTCTAGTGCCTTCTCACGGTATCTGATTGTCTTGTAGTCTCAAGATCCAGATCTAGAAAGAATAAAAACACTATATGGTATCTGTGTGTCTGGTTTAGAGCAAATCTAGGCACCCTCAGCCATATTCACTTGTTCCTTGGACATTATACATGATATCCCAATGTATATCAATGGATGTAATAGGCCTTCATTATACAGTGGGAGGTTGACTACCATCCTTTGAAGGGAATATGAGTAATTCTGAATTCTGAATAATCATAATCCTATTTCGAGTGACAAATATATTGCACTGCCTATAAATTCCAATCAGATCAATAACAGTCTCTTAGTTACTGTTCTGTTGCTAAGAAGAGCCAGAAGGAAGCATTTAACTGAAGGCTTGCTTAAGGGTAAATCCAGGACCATCGTGGCGGGAAGCATGGTAACAGCAGGCACATTGCTAGCACAGTAGCTAAGAGCAAGTTCTCTAACAATTACATCCACTGCATGGCCTCAAGATTACATCCCCCACCCCCACCCAAGACAGGGTTTCTCTATGTAGCTCTGACTGTCCTGGAATGTGTTCTGTGGACCAGGTTGACTTCAAAATTCACAGACATCTTCCTGAGATTAAAGGCCTGTGCCACCACTGCCTGGGCTACACTTTCGTTATCTATTGAAATGATTATTTAAAATATTTTTTTTGTACATGGATTCAGAAAATAAGTTCTTTTTAAAGAAAGAATATAGAGATTCGGTGATCATATCAAAATAAGCAATCTTAAGGCATTTACTACTTTTCATTTTGATGCAGTCAGGACCAATTAAAAGATTCTGATGGAAAACAGCACAAAGTATTCTAACAGTAACCATTCCATTAATTATAATTATAATGTACCTAGAGTGTATGAGCATACAGGTTCTAGGGTCTTAGAGGAATTCAAAGAAGTCCAATGTGTATCACCAGCTTCTCCATGCCTTTATAGACCTTACTTTGAGAGAGCAGGAAGCTAGAATGGCGCTAGCTGTGTTGAAACTGTTTCCTGATGGTGGCAGTATTGTTCTACATGCTTATGAAAGCGCCATTTTGAGACGTTTCCCCCTGCTCTTCTTGTTTGAAAACAAACAAACAAACAAACAATTTGTCTGTCTTGTATTTTGCCCAACTGAAAGGGATAAGCTCACAGTGCCTTGCATTTGGTCTAGTGTTCTCTATGAAACCAAGTTCACAGTGCCTTGCTTTTGGTCTAGTGGTCTCTGTGAAACCAAACTGTAGGCTCACCTACCACCTCCATGGTTAATATTTTCTTATATGCTAAATCAACCCCTCCATGTTATTTATCACCAAGCATTTCAAGTCACATTGAACTCGCTACTCTATCCAGTTAGGCAGATTGTCTGTGAAATGAAGAGCCTCCAATTGACTACATACCCCATAGTGCACCTCTATTTTTATTACTCTTATGGAATTGTTGACAACGCTTTATCTAACGACCTAAGAAGAGGTAGGCAGCTCACATTTTTGGAACTACTTTGTAAACTGTGGTCCCTGCACAAGGTATAATTTCCACAAGGAAATAGACATTCCTCTCATTCTATGTAATGGAATTCCTTTGCTATAAAATATTTTTTATTTAATTGAAAATAATTTTTGTACAATATATTTTCACCATGCTTCAACCTCCACTTCCTCCCAGATCCTACGCACAAACCAGAATAAAAGGCAAAGCACCTAAGAATCACACACAGAGAAATCATAAAAGAGAAACTCAGAAACTATGACATGAAAGCAAAATAGTGGGGAGTTTAAAAATATGCCCAAAGAAAGCAATATGAGACAAAAAGAAAATCTGCCAAATTCCATTGAGTTTGTTTTGACATGGCCATTGATTGCTTGTTAGGTATGAGGCCTACCCTTATGTGTGGTTTATAAACCCACCAAGAGTCCACTGGAGAAAACTAAATTTCCTTTGCAACTGAACAAAGCTTCTTGGTTGGGGTGAACATTTGTGTCCACTTTCCACTCTCAGTGTTGGGACCATGTCTAGCTTAAACCTGTATAGGCCCTGTCCATGTTGTCACCCACAGTCCCTGTGAATTCAAATGTGTCAGTCCTGTTGTGTGTAAAAAAACACTGTTCCCTTTGCCTCATCCCTTTCCTCTGGGTCTTTCACACTTTCGGCCTCCTCTTCTGCATAGAACCCAGATCCCGGAGGGGAGGGATTGGATGAAGACATTGCATTTAGGACTATGTGTTCCAAAGTCTATCACTCTATGTACATTGGTCAGATGTGGGTCTCTATATTAGTTCCCATCTGCTTCAAGAGGAAGCTTATGAAGCATTTTTCAACTTCTTTCTGTAACTTTCTTGTGTGAATGTGTGTATGCATGTGTGTTTAGAAAAGAGTTTTTCTTGACTATCAGTAATCCATACAGCCTGTTAGACAAATGATATCTTTTGGATGGTTTGCTTCAGTTCCTTTATATGTACATGCAATGACTTTTATATTTAAGTTCTCTGAAAATACCGTGCTGATTATATAATGTGTATGCCATAGTTTTAACGATACTGAGTGTGTATTGTATCAAAATTTTGAAGTGTATATACTTAAAAATCTATACACTAATCTGTAAGTCTCATTAATATCTACTTGCCTTTTAAAAATTGATGTACATGTATGTGTTGATTTTATGTGTTTGAGCAATGTCTAGATGTCAGAGGACAAGCAGCAGGAACTGTTCTCTTCTACCATTAGATTTCCACGTATGGAATTCATATACTCAGACTGGGAAGCAAGCACCATTACCACCCAACAGCCACAGTATTTGTCTTTACAAAAATACACAAATACATGACACTGACTATCCTATATAAAACATTATACCATGTTTAACCTGTTCATGGTTCAAGTACATCATAAACTTATTACACATTCTGAAGGATTATTCTTAGATATTTCCTGACAGCACTAGGTGGTGGTAGTCCAAGCCTTTAATCCCAGCATTTTAATGAAATTAAAATAAAATCAGCCATATACTATAGCAAAGTCTAGGTAACTATTATTTGAAAAAAATTAATGTTTGAATTATACATGCTATAACACTTATGAAGAAATCACAAGTTATATGGTTTATTAAGATATAACTCGTGAATGCAACATATGAGTGTGTTTTACAGAGCACTAGATATGGGGTCTTACGTGCTGATTTTTCTCTAAGACACTGTGGAATCTCATGTCAAATGGCAACATGATATCACTGAAATACATTAGTTTTCAGTGAATCCTCTATCCCTGCAGAACAAATTCACAAACACAGAAAACATTACCTAAAAGTGATTAATAACATTATTATAGCAAAATAATTAGCTCTCATTAGTCTGATGAATTCTTATCCACAATTCCAACCCAATAATATTAAAAGTAAGATTTACTGCCACGATATTTCTTAAAATATTAGAGATTGGGAAATTCCGGGTTGCATAACCTACAAAAGAGTTAGTTTCCCATCCCTAAAAGTACACATCAAACCCAGGGCCTAGGGCATGTAACACAAACATTATACCCCTTAGATATAGCCATTGACCTGCATTTGTAACTTCATATTTATTTGCTACTAAATCTCATAGCACATCTTCCTTGTGTATAAATTACAAAAATTAATGGTAACAAAATTTTAAATAAAACTAGGAAGCTGGACAAAACGAAAACCACCAAAATGGTAAATATCCTCCATAATGGAAGGAGAAGAATCCTAAGACCTCTGTTAAATTTAGGTCTCAGTTTGGCTAAATGTAGAAAAAAGACACACACAAAAACACTTTTCAAAGTACTCAAAGGTAGGCAAAACACAAGGCAACCATCTTCTTTGGTGCCTTTGTCTCTGGGTGGCATTTTTTTCAGACAGGAAGGGCGGGAGACAAGCACTCACAGATCTCTCCTGGACCTCTACTGCCATCAAGAGGATAGAGTTTCAAAAGTCACAGCGCCACAGAGCTTCCTTCCCATGATTCTTAGCCATGGCGG